AAGAGGAAGGTGCTGAGGCTGTCTGACTCATTCAGTGGCATCAAGGATGTTAATCTGCAGCTGGCAGCAACCACTTCGAAGGAGCTTGTTGAAGATCCTTTGAAATCGGTAGCGCAGTCCAAGCGTTGGAAGATTAAGAGCTGCTATGGTGATATTGGGTTTCAGTACAGAGATGACGAGACGATTGCTTATGTCGCCTCCCGAATGCCTGCTGTTTTCTCTGCGTGCTATAGAGTTCTTAACGAGGTAAAATAGGTATCTGTATATTAATAACCGATTGAATTAGCTCTCTGTCATCTTCAGAAAATCGAGAAATGAACTGGAACTGCAAGAAACAAGACATCTCAATGGATAGTATATGGTGAAATGCTCAGGCGAAAGAATTAACTTGCACGTTGTAATTAGGCAATACATAACGGATTTAGCAATTTAGAACATAATCATTTTATCAGTGAAACATGTGTGATAATGTCGGGAAGCTTACTTTTTTTCACAGACCTTTTCAAATTGATTCAGGGTTTACTTCTATCAGGTCGGTTTCTATAATTGGGAATGATTTTCTAATCATTTTTCTTTTACATGTATGCACTTAGGTTCGTAGAAGACTACCTGATTTCTCTCCATCTAGTGTATTGGATTTTGGTGCTGGCACTGGTTCAGCTTTCTGGTAACAAGTATCTTTATTCATTTATCTTAAATAGAATGCATGGACTGTCATAAACCTATATTAGCTAATTACATTGTGATTTGATTCAAATTTCTAGGGCTCTGCGAGAAGTCTGGCCACACTCTGTAGAGAAAGTTAATATAGTAGAACCATCACAATCAATGCAACGTGCTGGACGGAGTTTGATACAAGGTATTGAGGAATTTACATTTTATTGCTGCAAGTTGTAATTTTGAACTGATAATTGTGAATAACAAAGTTTTGTTTTATTCGTTCCTTCCATAAAAATAAATAAAGAACCAATTTTTATTGCTATTAGACAAATTATGACCAGAAAACTTATTCAGGGTAGGGTTATTAAAACTATATCTGAAAACTAGGTTAACTTCTGTATTTGAACCTGCAATTTTGAAGTGTTAGTTGGCCATGACGAATGAAATAATGCATGTACATTCCTTATTGTGGTAGTCTTGTTTTCAGTACTTACTGAAACAACAAAATTTACACTTTTTCATTTGTTTTAGGCCTAAAGAACTTGCCGCTTATTCATGGTTATGACAGCATTCAGGCGCTTAACAAAGATATTAGTAAGTCAGAGAGAGAACATGACCTTGTCATTGCAGTAAGTAACACTTTTGAAATTCTTCACTAGCATATTTTGGAACTTTATTTTTTTTTTGTTGCAAGAACTCGTCGCTCCTGGCTTCTGTCTTTTCTTCTTTTCCCATTTATTTTGTATATAACTTTGAAACCACTGCAGGTATGAAAAAATTGTGGTAATTCAGCTATTAGATCAGAGTACTAATTGATGTTTCATCTTATATGCTGTTGGATGAAGTCTTATGTACTCGGAGAAATACCGTCACTGAAGGACAGGGTAACCATAGTACGCCAGCTTTGGAATCTTACGAAAGATGCTCTGGTAAAAATTTAGCTCTCGGATTTTGTGTAACAACTTTTTTCTGATACTTGTTGTGGTCCTCTTATAATGAATACGTAATTAATCTAGAAATAAGAAAAATAAATTCTGGTGAACATTTTCTTGCCGTACCATAACACAACCCTGAAAAATGGGCATGAACTTCTTTTTCCAAACTTTATTTCTTGCAAGCCTTTTTCTCCCTTGTTATTTTTGGCCTTTGTGCTTTCGAAAGTGTAATTTTTTCTTCATGCAATTTAAGAAATATGAATGTGATGTAGGTGTTAGTTGAACCTGGAACACCACATGGATCAAATATCATATCTCAAATGCGATCTCACATATTGTGGATGGAAAAAAGAGTAAGTTGATATTTTTGTTGCATCTATTTGACAGTGCAGCATATTTTCTTCTTGACGATTGTGTTTTCTGCTGATATATAGAAATGGCGTAAACATGAAAACAACAAAAATATAGCTTCTAAGGACTTGATTACTCAAAAGTGCGGTGCATATGTAGTTGCTCCTGTGAGTATATTCTCTTTTCTTTTATTTTTATAATTTTGACATACTCGATAACTTTAGCCTTTTTGATTAATGTAGAAATCTTTTTCCTGATAATAATCAGCCTAATATCTGTGATTCTTATCTATCTTTTTAATCAGTGTCCTCATGATGGAATATGTCCATTAGTGAATACGGGAAAGTACTGCCATTTTGTTCAGCGATTGGAGAGGACATCAACGCAAAGAGCTTACAAGGTTCCTTTTCTTAGCATTCAGTTTCCTATCCCCTTAACACTCATATCGTGAGCTGCATGTTAGCTTGAAATTGATGGGAAATTAGAAGGCCGATACCTTATATCCGGACTATATACTGCGGATGTTACCAATTATTTAGTTTTCCTTTCTTTAGTTTCTTTTTATTGCTAGTTTGTATACATGCCTAATATTGACATTTTATCATTTTTTGAACAAGAGGAGTTGCAATGTTGATGTGTTCAATTTCTCTATTTTCTTTGTGACTGACAATATTACCTCGTGCTTTTCGATCCTGTACTCATCTCTTATTGTTGAATGTGACCACATCATAACTTGAAGTGCCTGGCCTAAATTTTTTTGAGAAAGTTGAAAAATAGCACATTGTAAAATTTATTATTTTCTTTGTTATGCCTTGGATATACAATTGTGGTCCCTATTAAAACAAAAGCACAAGTGGTTTCGGGGATTTTCTCATCTTTTCATTCTAGATTTTGAATGTACTTATGATGAATCTGTTAGCTTCCCTAGTATATAGTATAATATATGGATCCATTGCTTACTATCTTTTAATCTTTTTACATGTAGCGCGCCAAGGGTGAATCCTTGAGAGGTTTTGAGGACGAGAAGTTTTCTTTCGTTGTATTCAGGCGTGGGCAACGTCCTCGGTGAGTTCATTTTAATTTTGTTCTCAAAATCTTGAAGTTTTGAGGTTCCTTGCTCTCTTAAAAACAAAAGGATTATTCAAATGATATTATATTGATTGTTAGCAGTTTGTATTACATTTATAATTTCTTCAACCTCGTGTCCTCATCTTGATATTTGTATGTGGACTCCCTATTCTCAAACACGTTTTTGCTTCGCTTTTCTAAACGTCACTTCGATTTTTCAGGGAACCATGGCCTCTAGACGGCATGAAGTTTGAGACACTAAAGGAACAGCATGCCAAAAGAAATCCAGAAGACCTAGAGATTGACTATGGTGAGAATTAAATAAATATAATTTAATATATCCTTCATATCACTTTAAACCAGCCAGTAATTAGAAATGACAACTGAAATCTTCAAACAGACCTCTATTAGCATTCGCTGCAGTTTCACTAAAGTTGTTCTATTAATCTTTATCCCCTCTTACTTGTGACCATGGCAGAGGACCTAATAAAGTTGAACACACAAGATATTGTTCCATACCAAGAAGTGGATCCAGTTACATATGATTCTGATGTCATTGAAACTGAAATTCTTGATGATGGAGAAGAAGAGGGAGAGGAAGAACAAGGAGAATCGGCACTTGCTGATTTCGGTGGTGGTTGGGGCAGGATTTTATTTTCACCAATTCGAAGGGGCAGGCATGTATCGATGGATATTTGTCGATCGACAACGCGGGATGCCTCAGAGGGCTCATTTGAGCGAGTTGTTGTCACACAGAGTAAGAATCCTACTTTACATCACCAAGCTCGAAGGTCAGTTTGGGGTGATTTATGGCCTTTTTGAATTGTCTTCATGTCTGGCATGGCATCCATACACGAGTTATTTAACTACTGGAGAATGTGTATAGAGGCCTATAGATGTAGACATTCACTTGTTATTGGTACGTTGATTTGGAGAGTCAAATCTTGTTTTTGGCATTAATGTTTATGATTCTTTAATATATTGATATTCAAATCTTAAGAGTAAAACAGTGTCAATTTCATTAACTTTTAGAATGTCAAGTTCATTCTTGATCTTTTATTTATAATATTTAATAAGCTTTTATACGTTGAATTTTATGTCTAATTAATTTTTACTTCAAGTTTTATATTTATTTGATACATTTATTTTTATATATAATTATTTCATTAATTTTAATTAGTGTGGAATATGTTTAGACAATTTAAAATCAAGAACTTGTTGATTCAACTTCAAAAGTTAAATCTTGCTTTTCATTCTCATTTTAACAACAGTAAATAATTAACCATTTCATTTTTTTTTCTTAAAAAAACTTTATGAACTGTACACATATGTCATCAATGGAAGCAGAATCTGCAATGGCACATATAATAAAAAGTAAAGTCACTTTTAAAATGAAATTTACAGTAGAGAGAGAGAGAGAGAGATGAAATACAATCAAATTACGCAAGTAATCAATGAAGAATCATCTTTAAACCTCATCCATCATCTCACCATTTTCAGAACAATTCCACGACCCTTTATAGAAACCTCACACCTACCAAAAAGATCCCCACTTTCTTCCCCTCGTTAATGAATCTCTCCGACTTTGATTTGAAAGGTCGGAGCAACCTCGCTACGGCGATCCAGCTACTCGAAAAAGAGTTGAATTATGCTTACTTATTACGATTACGCAGGCTCACCTAAATACTTGAATAAATAGGGTTAAGGGAGTGACACTCTTCTTCGAAAAGAGGAGTTAGCTTGCCCGAACTATCTTAAAGTCAAGCTCTTTAAATTTTCCCAACCTATACTTATAGAAGAGAGATCTTTTCATGAACTTGGAATCATTCCAAGTGTTCGAAACTTAAAAAGTTGGTCGATTCTTCCCTTTCTTTTATACAAGTTTGGAACAAGTTTATGGAATTGAATGTACATGGCAGTTGAAAAAGAAGCAGATCAATGTCATAATGAAAGGAATTCAATGCCACAACAGATCAAGATAAAAGATTCAGCTCAAACATGAAAGGACATTTCCTTCATTGAATGGAAACACAAGAACACAGTTATCCATATCTAGGGGGGCAGCACAAGCAAAGACCCACCAGATAGATGCCTCTATTATACACATAATGTAATGTAATAATTATTGCACATACCCATTTCCTTTACTTTTTTCTTTCTTTTTGTTTTTTGTTTTCTTCTTTCTATTTCCTGAAAGCAGGCTCCCAGTCTCAAAAATAAAAGAATCATGTATATGATAATTAAACCTGTTATAACGACATCCCTTCCAGATGGATTCCGACATCTCGACGACCTGCAAAGGATGTTGACTAAATCATAGAAACAACACGGGTCAGTGTGATTCGAACATTACATTGAGGGCGGTTCATAATTCATGAACCCCCTTAACTTGGCAGGTTGCTGTAGACTTAATATGCTGTTCTAAGGATACTCACAAACCTAGCAAATGCAAGCGAAGATACCGAGTGATTCATAACCGAACGGGTAAACCATAGTTGAGAAATGTTCGGATTCGTCCATCCCATCCAGCGGTAACAATCACAAGACCCCACATGTGTGGAGAGCTAAGCATGCTTTGGCAGGCATTCTTCAAAAACTTGAACTCAGTCTTGCACATGGAAGGTGAAGGTGCCATTGAGCTGGAATCATGGAGTTTCTCCGCTGGCCAAGTTGCAGTTCCTTTGAGCAACTCGGGAAAAAGATTGCGACTTAGAGAGAAGCAATCCGGTGACGATGATGGAACCTTGTGTTCGCTATCACCATCGTCATTTGGATACTTAGGCTCCATTTCAGGGATACTTTCTGCTGTAACACAAACTCGTGCTGGGGACAGGGGGGATTCGGGTGTGATTTTCACACCAGACCAAGGTATAGCTATCGACGCATTATGAGAAAAGAAACTTTCAGATGACCAAATTTTCTTTTTCCGAGACGCTTTGTCCTTACAATTGTAGTTCCAAACATAGATGTTTTCTTCACTGGCTGAAACAATATGCTTTCCATCAGAGGTAAAAGAAGCAGACATCTTGTTTCCACCATTTCGAGGACCTAAGAAGAGAAACAGAAAAGAAGGTTAACAATTCTGTATCTTTCTTCTTTGGCATTAACCTCAAAGAGGAAGTATTGAGCATACCCTTGAACTTGCAAATGATATCACCCCCAGAAATTATATGAACCGGCGAATCAACAGAGCAGACCATTAGTTTACTCGGGTCGCTAGGAGAAAACTGTAAGAACAAAGAGTGTTAAAACAAACACGAGTCAAATCAACATGTTTGGAAGACTTTGGGATGTCGAAAAAAACCTCAAAACCAATTATTCTCTTCCCAGGCAACTTCTTTTTGCCATTTAAGCATATTTGAGCATCGAGCTCCAACCGATTATCTGAACCCATAAAAACGTAATGAATTTCTTGTGAGCCGCAAATTTTATCTAATTGCTTTGTTTACTACAGCAGTACTACAACAGAACTCAATCATATGCTTATCAAATAGATTACATTTAACAAAAGGATAAAAACAAAACATAAAGAAAAGAAAAAGAATTGAATTAACGTAATGTCGCACGTGCGTACCTATAATATTATAGAAACGACAGTTTCCAGTCATGGACCCGACGATTCCTCCCTGCACACAGGTCAAGTAAACAGGTAAGGAATATTACAGAAATCAGGGATGGCGATGGGGATTGGAAGGGAGAGGAAGGCAGACAAAAGAATACAAAGATCACAAAACTATATCAAACCTTTCCATCCGGTCTGTAACAGACAGCACTCACTATCTCACGAGTATCGATATAATCAACGACTTGACAAGCAAGAACTTCCCAGATCCGAACTTTACCATCTATCGAGCCACTTATGAAATGATTTTCATCTAGAGGGTTGAAACTTACACAGGTTACTGCAAAAAATGGCAAATAAATCAAAACATAGATAACGAGAACAGAAAAAGATCCCATCCATCAAAATTAATGTGAAATCAAGCATACAACAAACACTAATATATGCATGTCTGAAGAAGTATACCGTAGTTATTATGACAGTAAACTCTTATGCACGTGTCGCATCCCAGCTGCCAAAGACGTACAGTCTTATCGACAGAAGACGACAGCAGAAGCTGCGTAGAACATTAAAAGAAATAATAATAGTAAGTGATCATCGCAAAACTTCAGCATCAATATACAAATTACTGGTATGATTAGAGACATCATGATTCATGGCAATCATAAACATATATACTGAGGAAATGAATTCAAATAAAGGCGCATAAATGGTGGTTTATTGTACTGACCCCTTTCTTCGACCAAGATAGATCCAAGACCTCACCGCTGTGTCCCGAGAACTCGTGCAACGGTTTCTCCAATATCCTAAATAGATTTGGTGGAAAAATTACACAGGCTGTACTTGATGATCTCTTCAATTTTGTCTTGCCTACGGTCTCTTTCACATCCAAGGGGTCTAGCTTGGACAAATGATTCGTTGTGAAGTACATAGAGGAAGGATCAACATTGTGAAGGTTGAAATTATCAATTTTCACATCTTCAATGACCTGCCATACACGCACGACACGATCTTCGCCTGCAGTAGCCAAGTATCTTCCATCAAAACTGAACTTCATTGTAGAAATTGGTCCTTTATGTGCTTCAAATTCTTGTCCCACAAAAAGGGATGATAAATCCTTGGCTTGCTTTTTATATGGATGAACACGAACTTGTTGCATCCCAGCCTTAGACGATGAATTGAGATTGTCATGCTTCACTGCACCCTCCCTGTTGTCAACTATACACGCCGCCGCACCCAATTTTCTCAGCCAACCCTTCTTTACCTCTTTCCTGACATTGACTATAGGCCTAGCCTTTTCCACATTTTTGCGGAAGAGTTCCTGAACCAAGGGAGTCTGCCCAATGTTTCTCTCAAATTCATCAAAACTGAACGATCGGTTCGAACCGACTTCGCGTAACATGTTCAACATTCCATCTTGACTGAAACAATCCACAATAAACTCAGTCCCATTGTCCAAATTCCTGATAGTATAACCATAACTTTCCTCCACAGAAACATTTCCTGATGATTCTGGAGCTTCTTCCGACATGGAAGACATGGTAAAACTTGAAGATAACTCCCCTTCAGAACCCGAAAGTCGCAATACCGTTCCACAATCTTCCAATATTCGATCACGATAACCCCTCCCAAATGAAACCCCTTCCTCTTCATCTTTGTTATCAGAATTCTCCAAATCCAAATCCAAACTCATCCACTGGAAGAATTTGTTTCTGCGTTCATAAACACTTTCCAAGTTTCTTATCCATCCGCCATATCCGAAATTTTCAGGAACATCTCTATCATCCCCAAAACTTGTGCTACAGTTCTCAGAGCAATCAGATCCCCAATCAGAAACAGAGGAGATCTCCTCACGAGTATCATAGAATCTTTCAATCTCCTCCTCGCAGTAAATCAAATCCATCGGTTCTTCACTCCCTTTACCCCACCCCTTCGCTTCAAATTCATGGCATCCTGACTAAAACTCAATAGATAAACACCAATCGTTTGAACCGTTGCACACCCTCAACAATCCCAATTAGATTCTACATAGACTCCAACTCTGTTCATCATTTTCAAGAATTCAAAAAACAACAACAAAAAAAAACCATTAGATCCATGGCCACAAACCCATCAATAGAAAATCAAAACAGGAACATCCAATCAGTCCACAAAATTGACCAACCCCAAAAGACCCGAATCACAACAACAGTAAACGCTATCACAACTCTCCGACAAAACAGAACCCAAAAGAAATCAGTACCTAGAAGAAACCAGTAACCCCAAAATCAGCGAAATTAGAGAAGATAAGAGGAATTAGACGAGAAAACTGAAATGGGTGTTGAATGATCGAGAAGAAAAAGAGAAAAATTACAAACCTGGGTGACCCCAGAACTAGGGTCAAACCCAACTGGGGCTCTTCCTCTTTTTGGACTCTTCTCTCCGGAGGAGTTACCAGATGCGGAGGCAAAGAATACAGTGCGACGATGTTAACTGGAAGAGGAGGGAAAAGAGGGAAGAGGAGGAAAATATAGAAAAGCAAAAGGGTAAGGAGTAAAAAAGCAAAGCGCCTCGGTGCGACCGCCTGTGATAATAATTGGAGTGCGGATGCTGAAGGCTGAAGCTGGTTTGTGGAGAATCTTAGTACACGGAATTTCAAGTCCCCCTCTTTCTTCCTTTTCTGTTCTTCTTTGGTCAAAATTAGACATCCACCAATTTTACTTTACTTCGTCACTTGTTATCCTTCTTCCTTTCCCATCAATTTTCTCCCACCAAGTATTGTAAGATTAGTAATCAACGGTTGGATCTGGTAGAGTTTTTACATGGAACGAGATCGTATTGTTTATATTGGTGTCATAGAGTTGTTATGATTGTTGCATTGATAAAAGATTATAGAATGACTTGGTTGTGCTCGTGCCCTTGATTATCGTTTGTTATAATGTTAGTATCATCCAATATAGGATTTGTTGATGTAAAAATGACTTTATAAACGAGATCATGGGGATGAATTTTGGTCTCTCCTCGAATCCCTCACACAAACATGAATTCAGAAGAAGCCACGATGAAGAGGTAAGGTCTCTGCTCGTACCTTGCTTTGAAAACATACATTAAAATTCTAAAACTAAAAAATATAATTTCTCCATTTTTTAAAATAAAACTTATAAACATTATATATATATATATATATTGCTTTATTTTACACCGATTTTTTATTTTGGTAGTATCACACGGAGTATAAAGTAGTGTCAAATTGTATCTTTTGACACTGACCGATCGTGATAAAAAAAGAAATATATTTTTTTTAGGGAAAGAAAATATGTATGTGTGAAGTAGGTGTATTTATTTTATGGTTGATAAAAGGGTGCCTCACAATTTAATGGTTCAACCACTTATGAGTTTTGAGGTTGCTATCCAAATTCAACTTTATCTTTTAACAAACATATTGAAAAATGTCACAAATATCTTTCTCATTATCGAACAAATTTTAAAGGCGGGTTTTATATTTTTTTTATTAAACTTCGAATGTTTTTCAAATGTTTTTTTTTTTATGAACTACCCATTAATTATAAACATATAGTTAACAGTGTGGAAATTTCTCCATATTAGACGCATTTTAAAACCATATGACTGACAACAATACGTCGTGTGCAAAGGTAGACAGTATGTACTACGGGTGGGTTTGAGCTCTTACAAAAAAAAGTCACCTCAATTAATAAGAATTGACACTCTATTAGTAGAGTCGAGCCTCACCCATCTTACCGTCTCACAATCATGAAACTAAATAAATGCTTATCACAATTGTTTTTTAATGATAGTATGTCATTAAAAAATATATTTAAGATCTCGTAACTGACTTTTCTATGTAACACATATCATACAAATTCATACATATTCAAATTATTCCTAAGGTCATCTATTAAAACATTAGTCAAATCCTAAACTATACTCTTAAATTAAAATCCACATTTAGAACCAAATTAGTGGTCGAAACTTTAGTTCTTAGAAAATAGATACGAGATCTAAATTAATTTATTAATTTAATTAAAATATATATTATTTGATATTTGATATAAATATTGAGAGATCTAAAAGCGATCTAAATGTTTATTTTTTTTTTCGTAATTTTCTAATTATTTTATTTAGGAAAGGTATCTCTATTATTTGATACCTGATGAAATTAATTTATTAATTTAATTTTCTTTTCTCATTTTGGAATATATATATATATATATATTTTTTTTTTGGTAAATAACAAACAAAATTCATATCTCGTGATCTTCATTGAGCCAAACACAACATTATAAAAAGCAAAGTATATATAAAGCAATAATAGTAATGATAATAATATATAATATAAATTAAAAGCCTAAATATAAATATATTTTTTATTAGAAAAAAAAAGTGCATAAAATTGAGGGGAAAAAGGTGGTCAAACTCATTTGGTGGGTTCTCTACGTTGGATTGGAAGACCTAGTTGACCCACAAAAATAAATAAATGATTAAATTATGTTTGGTTTAATTATATAATTAAATGATATTTTAACCTTTCATTTATTTCATGTGATGCTTATTATTCAAATTTTATTTTGAGTTTCTTATAGTGAAGAATAATCAAATAATACTCAAACATTAAATATATTTAAATATGTATTTATGCATATTGAAATTAATTTAGTCCTATTTTTTAATTTTTTTAATTATATATAGAAATTTAAATAAAAAGTAATACGTATTAGAAATTAAATTCCACGCTGGAAAATATAATAAATTTCAATTTCAATTTTAAAATCACGCGTGAAGCATTTATTCCATACGGAGACTTTCAAAATCAAAGTCTTTTATTTCTTATTTTTTTGATTTTTCAAGTCTTCAATGATGTTTACTTTTCAAATTAATAAATTAATATAATTATTTAAAAAATAATAATAATAATTTTAAATTGAATTTTAATAAATTAATTCCAATATAAATTACTAGTTGGTTCATGTCGGCTATATTGCAAAATTGAAAATTATTATAGGGCGGTGGATGCTATTTTCATGTTTGAATTATTTGCATGCCGATTGACCTTTTCAAGCATTTTGTTTTTTTTTTTTTTTTTTTTTTTTAAGACTTATTATATTCCTTTTGTTGATCAACCTATTGAACCATCGAATCTGAACAAATGATCCCGATCTTGAGATTATAACTGATTTCTTTGTCAAGCTTCTCCTTCTAGATTCAGTCTAGTTCTAGGTTTGAGCACCTTTAATGTAAAACACCTCTTCCGGACGCAAAGTATAATGACCATTTTGTCCACTGAACTAGTTAGAATCTATTACTCCGAGTCACACTAAAACTTTAATAAGAAATACATATCGGAGGATAAATTTGATAGGTAGGTGTAATGAATAATATGAAACGAAATAGATTATAAGTTTCTATTACATCCTTATCTTCAACCGCTAGTTGTTGGGATGACATGCTTTTCATATATTTATTATGTTAAAAGAGAGAGTTGAGTCATGGGTTGCTTCTTCTTGGTACAAGCAATAATTATAATATTATAAAAAAATAATTTTGTAACGGTCTCATTCGAGTCCACAACTAGTAGATATTATCTGCTTTGACCATTTGATATACCACTTTCACTTTATAATAAATACTTAATATAAGATCTGTTTAATATAGAGTATAGTACTGATATATTATTTTCATATCATCCAAAAATGACACAAATATTTTTAAAATAAAATATATTAGGTATATGGTTACTGATAACAAATCTAATATTATTTAAGGCTACATCAGGCTATTTTTTTAAATCCTTGTTTTATACGTTGGGCTCACCTCACCCGTTTTCGGCCCATGGGCCTGATGGAAGCTTCAGTTGACTATACTTATATATTCTAAAAGATAATATTTATGGAGAATTTTTAGTTAACATTTAGGATAAAATAACATTCTACGTTATATTTTTAATTTTTATAATGTTTTATTAAATAATGTATATAACTAATATGGCGTACACAAATTTTAAAAATGTGAGTTTCAAAATTTATTTAGATTATTTGTTTAATTTATCACATCATACAAATTTCAACTATATTTTTTTTGTCTATCTTCTGGTCGTCGTTATCATAACAAATATCGTTCAACAAACACTAGTCAACATTAGTCGAGAAATTGAAAAAGAGTCTACGAGATCTCTATCCACAAAGATGTGCGCATTTTGTGAATATCGTAGTCAATCTTTTAGGATTGTTGGTATAGTTTTGATTTCAAACGAGTCATTGTCATAGGCCACGATCATTTCACACGTTGTATTTAGCACATGATGCCATGTCCATTTTAAATACAATAAAATCAAGCTCTCATACATAAAGATAGTCGTATAATATAAAGTTATGATTATATTTAGGAAAATGAATGGACCAAAAAAAAAAGTATACCAATAATTTAAAATAAATCAGACTGTGGGAGAGGGTGTCGGAGGCAATGGTAGTGGGGGCGGTGGTTGGATGGCGACGGGACCACCGCCGGGAATGGAGAAAGCAATAATAGAAGACGAGACAATTTCATGCTTAGGGCTGCAATTGGGTAGTAATAATTCAAAGGAATGGGCTCCTATGTTGGTCGTATCTGCACGTCTGCCGCCACTCACCGGACGATAATGCCGCCGTACGTCGGCTCCACACCTCCGACATTTGTTTGTTGTAAGCTTCCAAACAAAAGGCCAATCCTATTTGGTTTGTTTTGTTCAATTATTTTGATGCAACTTTTATTGGGTTTGTTTTGAAGCTTACTCACCTCTTCTGTGCTTATTTGGTTTATTCAATTTTATAAACTTTTTCTATTTGTTGCTACGTGTTTTGAGTGGACGGACTAATATGTACGCATGTCTCACATCTTAGGTCAGTCTAGCTAGGTAGTAGGTAGTCTCTCTTGGGTTAGAATCTTAGTTACATAGACTCACTTAGATCAAGTAGCTTTCTAATCTCATCTTAGTCGAGTCACGGCTAACTTGCCTAGATATGACTTTTAGTCATCTATCTTAATTAAAATACCTATGATTATTTGAGCTAGCTAACACAAGTGATACCACAACTTGCTATAAATTAGAGCAAATCTCATCTCAAACGAGCTCAAATGAGTTATTTCTTAACTAAGCATAAACTTAATCCAATTATCTAACTAGACTTTTAAAACCTAATTAATTGTGGTTTGTTATATAAATGTCAACGAAACAGCACTTAATGGACCTACCGCTTTTAATTTTAACAATATTATCATTAAAATCCAAAGTGTTTTAGTACTAAATTAAGAATCACATTTAATAAATAATATTATGTCCATGGATGAGAGGTAGAAATATTTTGATCGTTTTTTTTTGTTTTGTTTTCACGTCACTTAAGAAAAATTCACCAGCGGATTTGGTGGGCCCCATGAAAAATCTAATCTCGCATATTTCCTCGAGAATCAACGGCTGTGATCTACCCGATCAGTCCCCATCGCAATCAGATAGAGCAAAAAATAAATAAAATTCCCACACTGGATCTTTTTTGGTGTTTAATGGGAATATTTTTGACAACGAAGAAGCCACACACATCAAACAGAACAATTATTATTGTAAATATATTTTTAGGTTTTATTTTAAAATTT